CATATGTCAACAAAAGTTGATGAACCATGCACCCTTGATCACATATTAATAGAACTTCGTAGAAGTTCTTGGCGTTTAGTTTCCCAAACATCAGTCTCCTGATGAGCTTGGGCTAATTATCGGCAACCTGAACGCTTCTGACTTATGAAGCGCTTCTGCCCTGTGAAGCGTTATGCAAACACCAGCAGGTTTCTTCAAAAGCAGCTTGGACCGTGTCTGCTCGGATATTCCATCCGGGGGCCCCTAATGTTCATGTTCGATGAAGTGCCATTATTCCTCACCCGAATCTATCCATTCCACGCTTCTCCTAGCCTCTTCTGGTCGTCAAATCCTTCTAGCCACACTTCAGTTTCACAGCTGTGACTCGCCTCTGTCCCTCCGCAAGACGGACTCCTGACCTCTCCTGTCCTCTCCCGTCCCTCTCCAGTTCCATTCCTATCCTGTTTCTTTTTTCACTGCTTTCCAGCCACCTCTTCTGCGTCTCTCCAATCACGCCTCACTTCTTCTGTCTGACCATGTTCCACTCCTGCTCTGTTCCTATCCTTCTCAGTTCTCCTGCTCCACCATCACACACACTCCTGCCTGCACCTCCCCGGTCCTGTCCGTTCTACCCCGCTGCTTCCCTCTCCCGACCGGCGCGCCTGGCTGGACGGCGTCCCCCGCCGATCTCGCCGCGCGGCCGCTCGGAGCGTGCGAACCGCCTGCTTGCAACATCCGGTCCAGCGTCCTGCCCGCCCTGCCGGACCCCGCGCACTCCCACCGTAAATTGGGGACGCCCTGGGAAGCGCCTCGGGACGCCAGAAGTCCACCGGGGAGCGAAACTTCGCGCTGGGGAGCGGTTGTGCTGCAGAGATTCGCGCAGGAGCTGGTGAGACGCGGTGGGGGCTCGGGCGCTCATTATGTTCACCCGCCTCGGCGGTGTCTTTACGTGTCCTTTACAAGTTATCACACGAGGAATGCTGAAGTTTATGCACTGTAGTCGTGGATTAGGCCAGTAGATGATCGAGGGTTTTAGCTGTGACGCCGAGTGTTCTTTTTGATCTCGGTCGGATATGTAGCCATGCGATGCACCTGCTGTATGCGGTCGTGGGAAGGAAACATTCACTCTACACTTCCAGACAATTGACTTTTATCGGTACTGCGTGCGTGAGTGTATGCACTGTTGTTTGTTTTTATTCCCCAGGGGAAACCTTCACTCTCCCTTGCGGAATAGCTCCATGTAATCCGTTTAAAAGCACCCACCTTCTTCAACCAAATCGCTAGGAAGATCGCATGATAGACGCCAATAGAAATACTAATGCTACGAATATAGTATGGCATTCGGGACACCCCATAAATATAGCACCTGGCACACAGCACTGCCTCAAAGCATGGGAGGGTTAGAAACTCCGTTTGCCAGCGAAAATGTCCACCGCTTTGCATGAGGTCACCGACGCCCATCGATCACTACATCATCTCAGGTGCCGCGATAGGCAAACGACGCTCCACAGCTCACCTGACATACCTCTGAACCACAGATTGGTGTTTTGCGGAGGATTACAAAGCAGAATCGCAATGACCACCCTTGGACTGCAGGTTGAATAATCTGCTCACCGTGAGCTCATCTGGCGTGAGAATTCGGCTCACTCGTGGGAGCTGAGCTGCCCCGAATGACGCCGTTTGACCGCTGGTGGGGCTCTCTACGAATTGGATGCCGCTCCTGAGGTGCAGGACTTCTATGGCAACGCGTCATTCAGTGACTTCTGCGCTCATTTGCCTGCGTACGTTAATTTCACCTGGGCTACCCAAGCCTTTCACATGGTCAGCGACCATGGAGAAGTTAACGTAATGCTTTGGGACAGAAAAAGTAATTAACGTTAATATGTGTAGACGTAAAGTAAGCTGCAATACCATTGCTCCATTGAGTACAGATATTGTAACAACCCTCTGCACCTAGTTTGATTTTTAACTACGAGTACCATTATCTAAAAAGTGTGGACCCAGCCTCGCACGAATAGTTAGCGCGAACCGGAGGAAAATCGTTTCAGCAGCTTCTGCCGCTCGGCTCGGCGGCCCGTGTCATCAGCGTCCATCTTGTCGGGAGCTCTTTGTTGTGGTGTCGGAGGAAGGAGTGGACATGCCGCCACCGTCCTGGTGTCATCAGGTGTCACCGGGCCGGCCCGGGTCCCTGCCAGGAAGGCGCATCTATCGGGAGCACCTCCGCACGCAACGTGCTGGAGGGAGTCACCTGTCCTCTATCCTGGCGGTCTAGTAAGAACAGGGATGATGCAAGCTGATTGCATCTGGCAGAAGTGGGCCGTTTTCCTTCCGACTGTTTGCGATATGACTCACCTAAACTGAAATGCTTAGACTTGATTTGCAGAAGATCTTGCGCTAGAAACTGAAACATACTACATTTTCACAGCAGCGAACATCTCGCTTTGAGGTGGATTGTGCGTTTGATTTCGTTCATTCCATTGATTGATTTGTATCCTAAAACAAGTGCAAAGATAAAAACATTGCAGCACGATTGCTGTATCTCCTAGTTCTACCAATAAGTGATGGCGGAGTCAATAAGTGAGGCGTACGGTATGTCCGTCCAGAAGACCAGCTGTCTCATATAGCAAAGGCAGTACGCGAGTGCGGCTTTCATGTCTTAGAAGTTAGAAGAAGGTCCAGTTGAAATCTATCAATTTTTTACGGCTCATTCATGTTTTCAATATATTATAATGCAACTACTCGTAGCATGAATATAGTGTAAAACGATTCATTGCTAATTTCACACATTTTATGTGCGCTGTATGCTCACCTAAAATTATGGGAAAATGCTCGTTCACCACATGCACCAACGCTAAATGTAAAGGCTGACAGGCAAGGAGGAACTTTTTTACAGCATGGTATATTCTCTGGCACCCCTTTTTTTACTGCACCATGGTAAACTGAAAGACGGCAGTCAATCAGAAAACAGATCCTTTAGCAGTCAACATTATCGGTGAAAGTGGCATTTACTTATATGGAATGAAAGAGCTACCAGTGGGTGCAGGTGCCCACAAATAGGTACACCGTTTTACCTGAAATTTTACAAGGCTCTATCATTTCGCCATCCTGCGGTACACGTCCCTCCCTCTCAGCATAGGTTGTAATTTTGCCAAAAATTTTGCAATTCAGATTACATTTTCACGAACTCTCAACTGATTCAGATAACACGAAGCAGGAAGAATCTAGAACTTCGAACCTCGCATGCTTTCCGCAGCCAAGAGGCACACATTTGTCTAATCGCAGCTATGAAAATACGTGGGTGTCATTCACAGCTCAGTGAGCTTTTTATATTCCACGTCCCTCTGTGTGAAGTGGACCCACACGCTGAATATTGCACGCTCCCCGGCACTAGCCGCCCAGGCGCCGGGCTAATTCTGCACTTATCCAGCACCCCACGCCGGTTCCTCGGCGCTCCTGAGCCAACTTTTCAGCGCGGCTTCCGTTTCCGGCTACCGTTAGACGGCGGTTCTGGACTGATGTGAGTGCACGGCCGGCCCTCAAAGCCATCACACTCCTGAAGTGTATCGCTCTTCAGACATTGATCCAGCGCTGAAAATGGCAGTCTAAAAGTGCGGCGAAATGGCCCGGCCATCACTGATAGTCCAAGTCGCAAACGGCTAGGAGCCCGTTCTCTTTCAGCGTCGAATCGTTTGTCGTAGTTAATCGTATCTCTTTAGAGCAGTTTAGCCCTTGGATGATTTGCAACTGACCACTTGGTGTGCCCATTGCTGATAGTGTCCAAAGGTGATAGCATATCCATTTAATAATGTAAGCCTTTCAAAATATAACTCGTTGTCGCTGTCTTGCCTTTGTTGCAAGTGCATTTTGTTAATGACTGTGAGCGCTGGAGTCCTTATATAACCTAAACGTGCATACTATGTGGTAATTATCTTTTATCACAGCACAATCAGAGCTGCTTTTAGAACATGAAGCGTGCTTGAGTGCATGCATCACGAGTTTTGGGACAAGAGCGTACTATTTCAGCGCTAGTTGTTATGGGCAGTTATGTAATATCAATGAAACATGCGTCCAAACCTTTCGTTTTGCCGTTCTCAGGTTGCCGGTCAAATCATTGCTCCGCAACCAACAGAGAGCACCATTCCACGATGCATCGGCTTCTTACTGGTCGATGACTTCCGATCATCGCGTCAAATGACGTCATCATTTCCGCACGATGACGTCACACGACATTCCCGAGCTGCATTCCTGACCGGAGGCGATTCCTCTCCGGGGAGGTCTGGAGAGAGATGCAGATTCCTCGGCCAGCCCCGGGCACTCTGCTGGCCCCGCCTCGCCTCCGTCCCTCTGATCTCTCCCTGCCGACGCGCTCGAAGCACGTGCGGTGTTTCCGTGTTCGCCGCAATACGCGCGCGCCGTGATTGACACGTGATAGTTATATGGCAGCCTTTACTTTACGGTTCGACAACAGTGGGTCGCTGTTCTCAGCGAATTTAGAATGTGAACTATCAAAACGGCTGAGCCACCAGGTGTCAAATCTGAGGTACTAAATTTAAGCTGAACAAGATAACAAATAAGACGTTAAATATCCACGGAAATGGCAGCCCGATTAGGTAAAGATGCTTTCAAAAGTCCCCTTCCTCGCTTATGGGCACACACATCAGTGGTTTTACGAAGCTTTTAAAGATTCGAGGAAGATTCGTGTTCTTTTAGTGGCTCAAGCGTTATCATGTTTAGCTATGACTTTCTGCATTTCCGATGATACACTTTCCCGTTGCTTTGTCTGTGCATCTGTCTACCGCTGATCCGTGGAAACCCCTGATCTGGGCTACCCCTGATCCTGAGCCCTCGGTGACAGACACTGCCACTCCTGGTCGGAAGGAGGGTGCGTCTCTGAGCTCACTCAATCAGCTCTGTCCGTCCTGACACGCTAGGGTGCTGTGGCCCGACTGCGGAAATCAGCGTGAAAGCGGATTATCCCTTGTTTGTCACCCTATTAACTCAGCTGTCCTTCTGTTCGGCAGGTGCAATGGCGAAGAGAAAGAGGCCCTCTCGGGCGTCACGGAAGAGAACCATAATCTCGCCTGTGCCGAAAGAGGTTGCTACTGATGGCGACACGCAACCCATTCGTGGTGAGGTCGCTGCCCAAGATTCTGTGCTGGTAACTGATAGTGATAAAGCGATAAACATGACTCAGGAGGATGACATTAAAAGGAAGGTAGAAGATAAACCTAAAGCCCCTGTCACTTCATACGAAGGTGCACAGTTTTATGACGTTGAAATGGTGACTCCTTCAGATAGTTCTCTCCAAATTGTCCCAGATGCAAGCAAAGATGCTCTTGCCGACCACACTAACAATGCCACGCCCGAATGCAACTCAGAAGAACCAGCACTGACAAGAGAACAAATTCAAAAAGACGTGGCACGAATGGAATCCGAGCCCAGTGGAAACGACTCTGCTTCAAACAAAGCTTTGTCCCAAGCGGCTGAAGAAGATACTCCGAAAACAGACTCACTGGAAAAGGACTGCACTACCGTGAGTGAGCCCGAGAAGAGTGCTGTGGCTGCCGCTGACCAGGCTCAAAAGCAGCCTGAGGCGAGATCGAAACCCCCGCCGGAGGACGCCTCGACTCAGACGGATGACATTCCCGGCCTTCTGTTTTACCGTCCCCTGAACAGCACCCAGCAGACAGCAGGGACCCAGCATCGAGGATCAGGATCAACTCAGGACCAGGCAGTGACGTCATCGGACCAGTCCGGCGGAAAAGGTGAGTTCCTGAACCAATTAAATCAGACAATGAATGTGGGCAAGGTGAAAATGCATGAGTTGATTGTTAAGGTGCAGTAGCATCAGCAAAAAAAAAAGAAATAGATAAACTGTTGCACTTTGCAGGCGATAATCTAGTCTAAGAAAATTGATCTCCCTATTTGTGCGGTTAGTTTTACTCGTATGGTACTTTGACTTCAGGTATGTCCACAAACAGTAGCGGCCGAGCACCTTCAATTGAGGGGGCACGGTGCCCCGGTGCCCCCCCCCCCCGTTCCGCCGCCTATGCTCGCAAACTTCTTGAATGCACGTCTATTTGTATTATTGCGTCAATACCCACATGGTAAGTAGTGTTTCATTTAATTATTTTCTAAACGCAAACCAATATTATGTAAATGAAAAGTTATTTGAGATATTATTGAACAGGTTCGCTCGAATTCTTTCACTCAAAACTTAATGAAGAACTTCAACTAATCAAACAAGGTAAGTGGCTCTTCTGCTTTGCTTTGTAATGTGAGCTCTGTCATTAATGTAGCTTATTTCGTCATCAGTTTGTTCAGAAGCCAAGCTCAGAAGCCAAGTGGGATCATGTATCACCCGAAACTCACAGATTAAGTACAAGCAACAATCCATAAAACATATGCTCCATCAGTAAGCCTACCTACTGTTGCAGTTTTTTGTCGAATCATGCTCCGATTTTCCCACAAGATAGACGGCGAGTTCCGAATTCCGGTCCAAACCGGTCTGCTCCCGAGTTCCCACCACTCTCTGTTTTTCGCTAACCATCAGCGCATCTGCAGGATGCGCTCTCTTACGTAACCAGCTCGTGAGATGACCCACCCGCCGCACTGTTCGGGCGGGTCAGGTAGCTTCCGCATCCCCGCCGCCTCCCCCTGCCCCACGAATCCTGGCAGCTTGACGAGGTAGTGCGGTATCACGCCGCGTACGGTCAGCTGATCGGGTCGACAACCTTCCTGCTAACATCTCAGGTCCTACAATTTAATGTAAATACATACGTGCATGCATATATCATACATAAAAACATTCATACACCATACATACACACACAGGTTTAGCTCTTCCCTTCCCTCGCTCCTCTTGCTCTTTCCGCTCTGTCACTATATGTCTCTCCTCGGTCATCCGAAGACGCTGACCTGATGACCATTGAGTGACACACCACCAGGTCGGCGGCCGGGCCAGACGTACCCATACGCCGTCACCGGCAGACTTGACCGGTTTCCTGGAGATATATTATGCATGCCGGGTCAGCTCCTCTCCCGAGGCCTTCGTTCACAGTTCAGAATGGGGCCGTCGGGTCTTATCGGAGAAGTGTCGCGGAGAGCTTTGGGTTAGATGGGTCAAAGAGGCACCAGTTGTAGAGAGGAAGAAGGGTGGAGCTGCATATGTGTGTAGGCATATAAGTGTAGGCATATAACTAAAGAACATATTCACATATGCGGCATAGATGCACCTACTAAGCTAGATGCACGCAACTATGCATGCAGTGTAATAGGATATTGTATGGGAGATGCTCTGAATGAAAATATTGCAACTTGCAAGTGCTCCCTGTGTATATGACCATAGACTCCTTTAAACAGGGTCTAAAGGGGGTCTAATGTTAGGGGTCTAAAGGGGGTGTTTAAAAGGGTCTATGATATGATGGATACCAGTTTGGGCACTGACGTATCAAGGGATGACGTGTGTACCCGTGTGGCCGAAAAGATGGCCTCTATCCGGTGAGCTCTGGCAGTAATCGCCGGTGAGAATGTCCACGGCCGGTCACCCCGGCTCACCTGTGAGAGCCGAGCGCCGTGCACAGGGGTCCGGGTCACCGCCCGAGCGTATGGGAAGCCGCCGACTCGTTTCAGACGCGGCGAAGATGTGCACGGATGGAAAATAAAGAAGCACACTGCATGCTTGACGTGCGCTGAATAGGTGACTTTCTCTCGCAACGAGATAATCTGGAGTCATCTTCTTTATTACGGATTGTAATCAGAGATAGTTTGAATCTTTATCAGAGAATATTAGGTCGCACAGGAGAATGAAATTAGGAAATTCAGCTCGCCTTCAGCCCACTCGCTGTCTCCGAACTAAAAATAGGAGACTTGATTGTCCTCGAGAGTATGCATGGGTAACCAATGATCACGTCCCATGACCAGAAACTCCCCAGACAGAGAACATCCTGGCGAGGAAGATAGCCATATCGCTCAGCGTTCTCAGACACAGTGCCGCTAAATTATATGTCCATTATGACTGATTACTCAGACTCTTCGATAGCTGTGTGGGTGAGGGTGATAATTATGTGAGTCTGTTTCTTGAAGGAGGTGTGGTGAGAGGAAGCGAGAGAGAGAGGGAGAGAGAGAGAGAGAGAGAGAGAGAGAGAGAGAGAGAGAGAGAGAGAGAGAGAGAAAGAGAGAGAGAGAAATAGAGATAGATAGATAGACAGACAAAGTGAGAGAGAGAGAGAGAGAGAGAGAGAGAGAGAGAGAGAGAGAGAGAGAGAGAGAGAGAGAGAGAGGATGAGAGAGAGAGAGAAAGAGAGAGAGAAAGAGAGAATGAGAGAGAGAGGAGCGAAAAAAGGATAGATAGAGGCAGAGGGGAAGAGAGAGAGGGGAGAGAGATGTGCGCGATGACAGAGGGAGGGAGAGATTGCATGCTCCAGTGACTGTCCACGGCGGCTGACTCACCGCCGGTGTCTCAGGGATCGATGAGAACTCGGTGGCCGTTTGAGTCACGACTCCCAGCCGTAACGGAGAGTCATGACTCAGCCGGGCAGTATCTGAGGGCAGCTGAGTGTCCGAGTTAGCAGAGGCACTCAGGGGAGTCGCCGGGATGCGAGGAAGGAGGCAGACACTCATGGGAGACATCGGGCTGCGGGTGAATGAGGCACCCAGGGTGCTCAGAAGTCAGAAGGGGGCCTCGGCCTGTGAAGTGTACCTAACAAATGAGATAAATTGATCCAAGGTCTTACTCAAAGTGGCACCGATCTGCGAGTCATTTGAGAGTCACCGAGGCCTCCCGAGGGCAGACGACACGAGCCTGCAAGGAAACAAAGTTGTCCCAGACTCTGCATAGTGACGGATAAGATGAACAGGATCAGCATGGTTAATTGGCAGATAGGAGTTTATACATAGAGGCATTTATGGGAGTCTCTCTGTAACAGCGTGGCTATAAAAACTGCAAGCAAATGGGTTTATAAGCACAGGCCAAATTTGATGCGTGGCAGTATTTGATCTAGGCAAACTTAATGCTTATGTTGCTGATAAAACCATCATAATACATAATGTAATTTTGTCGGCTGCTGCCTGGTATATAAGGTTGATATGCTTCAACATGGAATTTATGTACCTACATAGGCAAGTGTCTTATCTGCCTTCGTGCTAGTTGCATTGAAGATAAAGGTTATTTGACATGCATTCTACTATGTGTTTGCTCAGACCGGAACACAAGTGGACTATAACGAACTGTTCATGCACTGAAAAAAAATTACACCAGAACTTTGGAGTAAATCTACGGTGCCAAAAAATCCAATATTTTCTGGTGAGTTTTTACTCCGGCGTAAAAACTCGAGTAAACTTACGCCGGAGTAAAAACTCACCAGAAAATATTGGATTTTTTGGCACCGTAGATTTACTCCAAAGTTCTGGTGTAATTTCTTTCTCTTTTCGAAGAATAATTTTACCACCCGTGGTAAAAATAGCAACCATAACTTGCACCAGTGGAAGAGTAATTTTACTACCCATGATATAAATAGTAACCTAATTAGCGTCAAAATACACCCCGTTTGGAGTAAAATTGCACCGTGCCCAAAAACTACACCAGCCCAAAAGGTGTGGAAATAGCACATAAGCAATATAATAAACTTAGGATGTGAGAGTAAATTTACACTAGGGTGTATTTATATCCAAATTATTTTTTACACTCTAGGTGCAAAAATAACAGGGGATGTGAAATAGGTATTGCAGTCGCATCATCCTGCATGGAGGGGCAGAGCGCATCCTTTGGAATGGACCAGTCAGGACATCCAAAAGATGTGCTCATAATCCCCTCCAGGCCTTCGGGATGTGCAACTGCATACCATGCATTACATAATTCACAGCCCCTGAAATATTATACAAACGTCATTCATGCAGATACAAGTGATAAAGCGCAGTGCAGGTGAGTGCACGGCGGCACGATCGACAAATTGAATACTATACTATATGAAGACTCTGCGCGTGATTTTTATCGAGTTGCAAAGGAAACAAGTTCAATGAAAGACCGTTTATTCTCAGCTTTATCACATGGTGCACGTAAACTCCTGAAGGTATGTACGTGCGTTATCACAACCATTGCAACGGACTGAAACGGACTCATAAGCCGTCTGTGTTTCTATGATATGCTGCGATATGATGCTGCGATAGCATATTCAACAAAAATAAAATATCAGAATAATATTTATCGGAGTAACTTGAGTGATAAGTACATATATATTCAAAAAAAATGCAAATATTTCGACACACTTTGCGGTAGTCTTTCAATGCAAATGGCACCGACAGTGCTAGTTTGTTAGGCACAACAAAAATCATCATTTTCCCATGCGATCGATAGAGCCGGATCCTTCACTACGATTATTAAACTAATTTATCACATCAGCGAAAACTACACTATTTACTACCATATCTAAATTTAAATACCTGTGACTCCAGTCACAGGTACTTGTCCAGGTCCATGTCCAGGTACTTGACCTTAGATATGGTAGTAAATAGTGTATAGTGTTTTCGCTGATGTGATAAATTAGTTTAATAATCGTATTGAAGGATCCGGCTCTATCGATCGCATGGAAAATGATGATTTTTGTTGTACCTAACAAACTAGCACTGTGTGCCATTTGCATTGAAAAAGACTACCGCAAAGTGTGTCGAAATATTTGCATATATTTTTTTTTTTTGAATATATATGTACCTATCACTCAAGTTACTCCGATAAATATTATTCTGATATATAACCTACTTGAGTAAA